ACAATATTAATTTCTATAAGCGGCCCCAGAATTTGAATCATTTCCTGAAAATTTTTTTTTTGTTTTTGTCATGCTGGACCATTTTTTTTTTTTTTAAACAAACCTTCAAGTTTCCTGCTCGCAGTTGACAGATTGGGCTGTTTCCTCACTGGTACATGTTTCCTCGCACTACTGTAATTTTATTCTCTCAAGCGAAAGAGATGGAGATGATTGACAATACTATTTATTCTCCATTAGAATTGTCTGCTGCACCCCAAACCCAGAGTGACTACAGACCACAACAAAAAGGTGAGTCGACCAAATTATTATGGAAAACTGTGTTTAGTTACCGAGGCTAAAAGATGAAAGGATGGCAGAATACACTTGGAGTAGAGGATACAGAAAACTTGAGGGTCATTTGAGGGAATACTTTAGGTTTAGTTTGAAGTCCAGAGTTGGATATGAAAACCTGGTATATGGTCCAGGTCTGATCTTAGGTCTCAGGTAAATTCTAACCATTCATGTCTACGATCTCATCTAGGAAACCCCAGCTGTCAGCAGTTCTGTTATTCTTTATTGTTCCTGTACTAAAGCAAGAACTTCATTGGGAGCATGTTATCTCTTTAGTAGAGTTTGGAGTAAACCAGCTGTTTAAATACGAGGTAGCTCAGTTTTTATGGGTATGAAATGAGAAGGGCAACAATAATTTTGCTAATGGGTAATAGTAATATTTTATCAGAAAAGAAATTGATTCTCATATTTAGGTCTTTCCCTCCACAGTGTTGTACCCGAATGTGACAGGGCTATCAAGAATGCCACAGATAAGAAGTCCCTGTGACTCTTTGGGTATTTGAAGAGGAAACGAACTACTTCTACATAGAGCCCTGAGAGAACACTTTATGAGACAGGCAGATAATAGCATAAGCACCAAAGTTAATATTTGATTTTATATCTTAAACAGTAAACTCTCATAAGGTATGTTTTTTTTAGGGTAGCTCCAGAAGCTTTCTCCATGTTTACTGCATAATCTTATTATTATAATTTTAATGTTGTCCTTTAAAATGTTATAATTTGTTAAATCAATCCAGTATACATGAACATTTAGATTTCTATTATCATAAATTATATAGCATTGGACATTTTTATTTGTGTATAATTTTCCTTCTTTTGGATTATGTCAGTGTTAATTTTTAACCAATAGAAATATTAAGTCAAAAAGAATGTGTATTTTAAAGTATAAGTGCAAGGTCACACAACTGTGATAAGTTGAAAGTTGAGTATAATTATTTGATTTCTAGGCAAGCATTTTTTAAATTTATATACAGTGCACATTGTACATTCTTATTTACTGCCAGTGTGTTTATTCTTACCCCAGTTTTCCAGGGTACTCTACTTGGAAATGGGAAAATAGATTAGGATCTCTAAAGTGACATTAAAAATCTTTTAATGAAAGAATTACATGTTCATTATAGAAAATAGGGAAACTAAGTGTGTAGATATAAGAAAATCAAAATCACTAATAATTTTAAAACATGACAATCATCATTATTACTATTTGATACATTTTTACCTTTCTATGCTGACTCTATATACTTTACTAAGTGGCTTTTAATATATATATTTTTAAAACAAATTTTAAACTAGTGGTTGCCAGATGGTAACAGGGAGGGGGAGGAAGGCGGTAGCGGGGGAAAAGAAAAAAAAAGAAAAAAAAATTTAAATCATTTCTTCAATTAAAAAATAAATAAATAAAAAAGGAAAAAAGAAAATAAATTTTAAAACTTTGTTTTACTTAACTTTTAAAATTAGATTGTCTTTACACAAATACAAGTATATTTTGATATCTTTTTTTATTTTGCTTAACATCTAAAATCAACATTTCATTAAATATTCTTCTATAGTGTAAATGTATATTTTTATGTCACTGGAATGCTGTTTTTGGATTTATCAGTCCAAATATGTATTATGCAGTACTCTCTCATTTTAAAGGTATCTCTCATTATGAATTTCTTTCTTTGAAGAAAGAAATTTAAATAGGAAAGTGAAGACCAAATGGACAAATTAATTTTTTACTTTCCAAATAAAGCAGTCAAAACTAGAACATAAATAACTTACTTTACAGATTTTTGCTCTTTACATATAACTCCTATTCTATCAGACTGTGAGACCATTACAGTTTTGAAATAAACATCTGGGTAAAAAGTCTTTTGCATTTTCCAAGTGAAAATAGCATTCTTAGATATAGGTAACATAGTTAATATAAAGTTGTGTCCCATCCTTAAAAGTAATATCAACCTAAACTCACTGCTCTTCTAATAACAGTTTAAAAAGCACTTCTGAGATGTAGGTTATTTTATTTTTATTGAAATTTTATTTATTTAAGCTTTGAACACATATACATCACCTGGTTCAAAATTTGAACGGTACAAGAGAAAAGAAAGTAAAAAAATCTCCCTTTTATCTCTGTCCCTAGTGATCCATTTCCCCTCCCCAGAGGCAAACAGCATTATCACATTTTATGTCTACTTCCAGATATATTAGCATACATGCTGTACAGAATTATTTTTTTTCTTAACTATCTTGACAATCACTCCATTGCCATGAAAAAAAAAAAAAAGCACATCTTTATTCCTGTATTAGAAGCTGCATATTCAATTTATGGATATATCAAAATGTGTTTGACTGATCTTTTGTGGATAGACATTGAGGTTGAATTCACTCTTTTCTTCCTACAAAATAATGACATTTTGCACATGTCTGAGAATCTGTAGGAATAATTTCTCAAAGAGAAATTGCTGAGTCAAAGAGTAAATGTCTTCGCAATTTTGGTTGACAGTGCCGCATTGTCCTCCAAAGAGGTTATGTTTACCTTTAAATGTGAGACTGTGTAAGCCCCAATATCCAAAGGAAAAAAGTATTCTTAACTTGATAAACATAGTATATTCCTTGATAAAGATGTGGGTGGTTACTCTAGATTTTAGAGTAAGTCCCTTGCGGATCCAGGAAAGGAATCTTAGGGCCTGGGTCTCAGTTCCTACTAGACCACATTGCTTCAAGATCTCAGATATTCTTCCCTGACCTTTTCTTTTCCTTCAACTTTTATTCTGACTCAGGATTTGCTTTGGATTCTGTTTTTGCAGCCTCTTCTAGGTGCCCGCTGTCATGCTATGTGGCAATAGCTTTGGGGCTTCTGAGTACCATTCTTATGAGTCTGCTGCTGTTCAAATGGATTCTGTGCCAGAGTAAGTGCTAACTTAAACAAAAATTAACCTTTCATCTATCCATTTTGTCCTATAAAAGCAATATAAGATAACAGAAAATTGAAAAATAAAAAATAATTCCAACAAAATAAATCACTACTTCTACACATTATTTCCTGGATATAGCCTCCTAGTCTTTGACTATAGGAATTTTGTATATGTATTTATTCTCTTAACAGAACTTCAGTCAAGTCCTCTAAAATATCCCCACTTTTGTTTTTTAAAAGTAAGCCTGGCAATAGTTCTAATCATTGAATACTTAGTATAATTTTGTACATTGCTTTTTCTATATTGTGTCATAAACATTTTCCTACCTACTACCATATTTATCATGATAATCGAATTATAATATTAGTTATGTTTAACTTTTTACATAATAGATATATCATAATTTAATTAAACACATTCTGATATTTTTTCAATTAGAGAACTTCCATATTTTTTAAAATGAACTTTTCTAGGTTTAGTTCTTCCGGGTCCTTAAATATGAGAATCCAGAAGGCCTACAGTTTATTGTTTCACAGTCCAGAGTCCTAATTTAGATTTCTGTTATCTGGGGAATGATTGTTAGTGACAGGTTATAGAGATTATTTACTAAGATGCTAAGGGTTCAACTCCAGGACCTTTACCTCAGACCCATCTCCTACCTTTAACAAAAAGAGACTCCTAGAGAAGTTGGAAATTTCTCATTTGGGCCGGGTAATGTCACAGTTTATGGAAAAAGCACAAATCTATAAGGTGTCAACTTTAAGCTCAATCTCTAGAACCCTAAATTGCTTCCATGTCGGGGCTTCCCATAGAAAAGTTGTCTAATCTTTACATTAAAAAGGACTACTTCTCCCACTTCTTAATTCCTGAATCTAGAATAGACATTGTTGACATAAGAAACATCCAAACCTGCAGAGAATTTTTATTAGAGTTTATTTGAGCCAAACTGACGACAATTGCCAGGAAACAAGATCTCAAATGCTCCAGAGAGTGACGATTTGCAGTTTCTTTTACGTATTTGAAATTAAGGAGGGAACAGAAGGAAAATTACATAAAGGTGACAGAAATCAAAGCAGGAATTGGATTACACGATAGCTAAGTTTATGTGCTCTCTTGAAGATGGTTACTCCTTTGAGGGATATTATTTTTAGCATTTCAAAGGTGTATTAACCTAGACACAAGAACAATGGACAGAGCTTGTTTTAAAATCTTTTACTAAAGAATTTACAGGCCTGGGGCATGACTGCCCACCAAGACCTGCTCAGTTAGGAATTTGTGATCAATTCACCCTGTGAGGTTACTTTCCATAGAACGTCTTCTTCATCCACAGTACATAATAGATTTTTAAATTATATGTCTACACATGTGCTCACTTGATGTAATGGCTCATTCTTGCTCACTGTGGAATTGTGCTTATGATGAGTTTATACAAGTGTTTCATTGGAGTAGGAAATCAATAAAATTATAAAATCTTGCTTGAAATTACCTTGAAAGTTTATTCAGTTCCCTTTTATTTTCACAGAACTGTAATCCAACCTTTTTAAAGGAATGAGCCCTGTATTCAAAAAGGGCTCAGTGAGGAGAATTGTATCACTTTTCATTTTAGTATCTGATACCCTTCTCTGTCAGAAAATCTTTTTTTAATATCTAAAGTAAATTCTTTTTGCTGAAATATGGTCTTTTATCCAATTTCCAATAATAATATACATTCGCATTTGTGATTAAAAAATAAACAATTCATTATAATTGAGTTTGCTTTTTCTAGTTTCTGTCCTTTTCTTCTGTGCTATTATGTGGTATCAAATTTAGGTTGGGCATTCTGAAAGATTCTGTCTGATTTAAGCAATGTATGCAGTTATACAATGTAGACACTGAGCCTACATAGACAGTACACTGACACATATCATGTAAATGCACAGTTATCTTTTTTTGGTATGTATTAATCACATGTGCTTAAAGATCTCTAGAACAAGTAATGTATTCGCTCCACAGAGTTCAGCCAGATTGTTCTCATTTTCTTCCCTGCTCCTTTAGTGGTTGTCATATCCCTGCTTAGTGGAATGTACAGTAGTAGTGTTGGAGCTGGACATTGTGAGGTATTTAATTTGAGGCCATGCATTATTGTGTGTTTCTCTAAACCTTAATTTGAAAGGTGGTGCGGCAGGAAAACACTGGGACCACCATATTCCATTTTATCCCTCATTTTATTTCCAAGACAGAGTGGTCAATCAAGATGTCAACCAGGTTCTCTTCCTCCCTAGGTTGCAAGTACTCTACTTGTGACAGCTGTCATAACTGCCCAGACTCCTGGATGGGGTATGGTAACCATTGTTATTACTTCTCAGTGGAGAAAAAGAACTGGAATTCTAGTCTGGAATTCTGCTTAGCCGAAGACTCACATCTCCTTATGTTTACAAACTACCAGGAAATGGTAAATGCAAACATTTAGCAAATGTAGGTTGTTTCCTTGGTGAATGCTGTTCAAATGTAGCATGTATCCTCTTGTGAAGAACAAAAGGAATATCCTTCTTTTTCTCTCCTCTCTCCTCTTTCTTTCCCTTCTTTCCTCATCCTCTATCCCTGCCTTCTTTCCTCTCCTTCTCCTTTCCTTCCTCACTCCTTCCCCACTCCTTCCCCTTTCCTTGCTTTACCCCCAAACCCTTAGTTATAGAAACCTAGATATTCTTATAGGTGTGTTTGTGTGTGTGTGTGTGTGTGTGTGTGTGTGTGTGTGTGTGTTGGAGGTGGAAGGATGGTGAATATTGCAGAGAGGAATTAGACCTGAAATACAAATCTACTTAAAGGGCACATTATGAACAGGACAAACAGAGACTCGTGGACATGGACTATAGACTAGTTGTTACCAGAGGGTAGGGAGGTGGAGGAGGAGCGGGGAGGTAGACGGGATAAAGGAGGTCAAATATAGGGGGGTAGGGAGAGGATAAAGTGGGTAAAAGGGATCAAATATATGGTAGCTGAAGGAAACTGGACTTTGGATGGTAAACACGCAATAGAATATACAGATTCTCAAGGGAAGATCTACATACTATGTTAAGGTGTGCTTGATGGACGTAGTATCATACTAGGTTTGAACAGCTACCAAAAGAGCATATGAATTTTTTCAAACTGGCAATTCACTGGTCGAGAGTACTGCTAAGGAATTAGGTTGCTATATACTAGAGGTTACAAGGCTATAAGATGTATCCATCTCATGCCGTTAAATAGTCATCTTTCAGTAAGATACGTATCTATAGTCCACCTCTATGTTAGACCAGTTACAGCAGAGCGAATAATAATAATAATAATAATAATAATAATAATAATAATAATAATGGAACTATCATGCACTGAGCACCTGCTATATGCCAGGTATTTTATGTATATTATTCTTCATCTTCATAACATATCAGACAAAGTAGAATTCAACACCTCTATTTCACCGATGAATGAATAAAATTCAGAAGAGTTAATTATCAAGTCTAAAATTACATATCTGGCAGAGCCGGTTTTTTCCCTCCTTCTCCTTCTCCTCTTTCTTTTTATTTTTGCAGAGACAGATTTGAAACTCCACGTTTGCCTACCTTGTAAAGTCACTTACAGAAATATTGCATTTGAAAGCTTCCAGAACCCATCTTGTGTGGGCTAAAAAACGACATAACTTTTCAAATTAGTTGTCTTCTGGTGCTTTTTCTTTTCTATACATGTTTAAAAAATTATTCGAATTTGAAATCTGGAATGTACCCTATATGACCATTAGGAGCTGAATATATTTAAAATAATGAGATGCTTACTTATCATCTCTTTTTATTTATCTTGGACTTCAAGATTTATTTTTGAGAAAATAAAAATATTGAAACTGACTTGCTCTGCTATTTCCTCAGTGTTCTGTTTACAATATAGTATCTGACCTTTGTTGTTCTTCTTGCTCTTTGGATCTAGAGCTTTAGATATTTTCAAATTCTTGATTTTTGTCATTTTTTTCCTACACAAAGCTCAATTCATTTTGAATGTTAATATTTGTTTCTTAGAGTTGTTGATGTATTATTTTAAAATACACATTTACTAGAGAGTTCACTGTGAAAATATTTTGGTTTCTTTAAATTTAGCCTGATGCTTCTCAGCCTATAACATCTTTCTTCCTCATTACCATAACTTGAGATTATATCATCAAACTTAGTTGTTTTAATGACCTCTCATTTACCTTTAACCATCTTCCCTTAGAATTTATGACTTTGGGATTGTCTCTATCTCTCTCTGACTTTTGATATTGACTTTTCTTATATTTAGGGTTTATGTTTAATTATATGCAAGGTTTTTTCCTTTGGAGGCTATGATATGAACACTATGGCAACTTGGTCACTTCCCCCCATATTCTAAGTAATTAATTAATCAATCAATTAATTAATTATTTTTCAATGCCTACAGCACCTGGTCTTCCTAGATGGTCTCCCATCCAAGTACTAACCAGGCCCGACTCTGCTTAGCTTCCGAGATCAGATGAGATCGGGCATGTTCAGGGTGGCATGGCTGTAGACTTCCCCCATATTTTAAAGTAGAATCAGGTAATGGGAAGAGCTTAGTTTCTTTCTGACAATCATGAGTTTGTTTTTACTACATTATTTACTATGTGAATTTCAGCAATTTTTAAAACCTCTCTCTCAACATCTTCGTGTATTAAATGGAGAAAAAATTCCCAGAATTGTTATGAGTATTAAGTGAGAAAGTCTATACGGAAATTTCTTTAATATACTAGGAATCACTTAATTTTAGTTTTTCTTTTTTTCTACTTTAATTCTTCTTATCACTCAAAATAAAGCCTAGAGTCCAAATAACTTTTGATTTTCTCTTCTGTCTTCCAAGACATGAAATTTCAGTAAAATAAGTATCACAGAGTAAATTGTGACTTGTTGAATTATTTCCCTTATGAGGAAATCTGAAATATGTCAGAAGATTGAAAGAAGTGGCCAGAAACACAGAGCAGATAGGAGGAGAATTGTCTTACTCTGGAGGTCTTCATAGTTTGGTAATGTGTGTGTCTTTTGTCACCTTTTCTTCATAAATAGTTCAAGCAGACAGTATGAACTTCACACCAAGTGTAGGTGTGATAAGTTTGGATATCTCTCACTATCTTTTTTTTCTTAACTTAAAAAAATGTGGCAAAATATGCATACCATAAAATTTAGCATTTAGCCATTTTCAAGTGTACGGTTAAGTGGCATTAAGTACATTCACTTTGTTGTGCAACTGTCACCATTATTTATCTCCAGAATGTTTTCATCATCCCAAACAGAAACTCTGTACCCATTAAACAATAACTCCCCATATCTCCTTCCCCCAGCCCCTGGTGACCACTATTCTACTTTTTGTCTCTCTGAGTTTCCCTGTTATGTTCTTTTCTATCTGGCTTATTTCACTTAGCATGCTTTCAAGGTCATCTGTACTGTAGCATGTATCAGAATTTCATTCCTTTTTAAGACTGAATAATATTTCATTATATGGATACATCACATTTTGTTTATCCATTTATCTGTTGATGAACAGTTTTTCACTCTCTTTTTGAGAGAGTGCACTGGTTTACAGAGCAAGGCTTATTTACTTTTAGTATTGTGCATATATGCAACATTAAAGGGAAAATTCTTATTAATATGAAACTAGTAATTTGTAGCCTGTCAAATTTTCTTTTGCAATCTCATAATACATCTGCATGTTTACTATTACAGGAAAGCTAAAAAATCTAGAAACAGGAAAAATTATTTTTAAATAGTATGTTAGTTAAATTTTCAAGTAGTGTGCTCAGTGTGTTTTTATTCAACCTCCAGACACGTTCTCAGGTGAAATAACTCTAACTTTAAAGCAATATATTCAGTTGATTTTAGACTTTATAGGTGCTCTATGTTATACTGTTTTCACATTAATAACTACATTTGTTTCTTCAGCTACTTCACCTGACAAGGTTTCTGGAGATTGAAGAAAAGCATTAATGATATTATTTGAAAATGTAACAGACATGCTATTTAAAAATACATTTATCTTATGTTTCTAGGATTTTTGGATATCCTGTATTTATATTCTGCTTTTATCACATAGCATTTTTTTCATTCTTTTTTCCAAACATTAAATTATTCTAGGTATTTATTTTTAAACATTTTGTATTATTTAATTATTGCTTATTTTTATATTCTTAGACAAACTTTTACTTATTTCCAATTTTATGCAGCTATAAGCATGTTTATGTGAATTGTTTTTTTTCTTTTTGAGGTCATTCTTTAGGATATAGTCCCTAAAATTACATTAGCCAATTAAAGATATGACCAATTTAGTAGCTTTAGTGTATTATTAGTTTACTTCCATATGGGTTGAAATAACAGATGTATCCCATAAACCATATTAATTTTGGAAGTTTAAGGAGCATGTTCTGTGTCATAAAAGTATTTTAATTACAATTTAAAAATATTACTTGCAAAAGCATGTGTGTGTGTGTGTGTGTGTGATAAAATCAACTTTAAAAAAAGGAAAAAAGAAAAAGAAAGGAAAATGTACATAATTTTATTTGTTTAGTTCTATCTTCATCTTGCTTTTAAGTTTTACTTTTTTCTCTCTAAAATACAACCAAATATTACAAACTCTAAAGTGACATAACCCCTAAGCCCTCTAGTTTATACCCTCTCTAGAAGCCAAGAGTTTTTTTTAAATAATAAGTTTTATTTTTCCATGACAGATGGCATACAATATTATATTAGTTTCAGATGTACAACATAGTGATTAGACATTTACATAACTTATGAAGTGATCACCCAACAAGTCTAGTACCCATCTGTTACCGTACATTGTTATTACAATATTATCGACTAGATTCTTTACACTGTACTTTATATCCCCATGACTATTTTGTAACTACTGATTTGTACTTCTTAATCCCTTCCTATTTTTCATCGACTCCCAATCCCTCTTCCATCTGGCAACCTTTGAAATGTTCTCTGTATCTATGAGTTTCTGTTTTGTTTGTTTATTTTGTTTTTCAGATTTTACATGTAATTGAAATCATATGGCACAGGCCAAGAGTTCTGAGTTAACATCCCTGCTTATACTTTTATACTGCTTCTACACACACACACACACACACACACACACACGCGCGCGCGCGCGCGCGCGCACGCCCACGCACATGCACACACATACATTATCCAAGAGTCCCTAGAACATAGGAATTGCACTGGTTTTAAAGTCTTCTTCCAAGGGGAAAGGTTTTCAAGTGAAAGCAATTCAGTAAAAGTTTTTACTGTCCGGTTTAGCAGTGAGAAGGAGTGACTTAGAACTGTGTGGGTCTTGAGAGTAGTAAGTGTAGGACTGGAATTTGTGAGTTGCATTATCTAATTCTAGCTCTTCAGACTCTAATTGAGGTTTTTGAGCAAGTCTGTTTATTTCTGTGCTCTATTAGTTGTCATCCCTCCCCTTGAAATGAGGGGAAGAAAGAAATGATTTGTTTTTCTTATAATTCCAGTGGAGAAATGAGAAAAAACTCATTTTCCCCAAATTAAATAACCCTTGTAAGCAAGTTGGTTAAGAAATGCATGAATGATTGCAAGTTAGGATATCATTTCTTTTCTCTCACCCTTCTTTTACTCTTTAGTCTAATTTTCTACTTCCAACATACATGATTAAGTACTCAAAAGGGGTAAAGTAAAAAATGCAGAGTTTGTGTTCAAAAGGTTTTAATCTCTTGCAGCCTAAGACTTGACACTATATTTTTTAATTCTATAAATATTACTGCACACAATTTCATATATTTTTTGAGGTGCTGGGAATATAATAGTAAACAAGAATTCTTGCTATTATGATATGTACATTTTAGTCAGAGACAGACAGCAAACAAGTAAATGAATAAATATGTTGATATGTGCCTTGAACATAATGAAACATTATGTTATAAATAGTGAATGTAGGTACTACTTTAGATTTTGACCAATTAAGGAAGGGCTCTCTAAGGAGGTAACATTTGAGCTGAGACTTAAACCTAAATGACAACCATGTAAAAAGCTAGAGGAAAGGTATTCCAGGCAAAGAGAAAGCTATGTAACCCTGAAGTAAAAATGACCTTGGCATGTTAAAAGAACAGAACGAAATCTCATGGATTAGGCTGGAACCTAGTAAGTGAATAAATTGTTGAGAGGGGCTAGATCATGTAAGATCTTGTAATACTTGGTTAGGCATTTAGATTTTATTCTAGGTGAAAAGAGAAATCATTGGAAGGAAAGAATTAGGGACAAAATGTGATCTTTTTTATTACTAAGAAGGGGGAGCCTGATATAATGCAAAAGTTTAGCACTGGGAGAGAAACATGTATGTTTATTCAATAAGGAGCGTTGGGTAGTAAGCCTTATCACTCAGGTGAATCAGTTTCCTCATTTATAAAGATGAGGATGATAATATTTGCCTACCTTCCAGGGTTGTCAAGAATTTTATAACTGGAAAAAATCCTAGTAAATATCTAAGCTAAATCCTCATAAGGAAACCGAGTCTCAGCCAGATTGAGCCATGTGTTCATCTTCAGATAGCAGGGGCAGAACTAGTGCTAAACACCAGCATATGGTGTTTGATTGTTTTCCTAAAAGTCTTACTGTATATCCAGCATTTCAAATGAAATGAAGAATGAATGGAAAGGGATTTTGTAAACCTTAAAGTACCATACATAATAATATAAGACATGATTGTTCTCAGGATACTTTGAGAGAACAAAGCTCTCATAGGAGGTAGAGTACTTAGGAAGGAAGTATTGATAAACAAGTGGTGCTGACCTTTCTAGTGCTTCATCTGAAGCCACCACAATCTTGTGTCCTCAGTGGGAACTATGATTGAAACCTGCTGAAGAGAAAGCAGAGGTTTTGTGAAAATGAGAAAAAACACCAAAGTCTTATTCTATCCCTATTGCAGACTGTATATTTGTGTTCCTCCCAAGTTCATATGTTGAATTCCTAATCCCCAATGTGACGGTATTTGGAGATGTAATTAGACATGAGAGAGCTTCCCTCTCTCTCTGCTCTTCACCATGTGAGGATACAATGAGAAGACAGCCGTCTGCGAACCAGAAAGCAGGTTCTCAGACACCAGATCTACAGGCACCTTAGTCTCAGACTTCCCATTCTTCAGAACTGGAAGAAATGAATGTCCACGTTTTCAGTCACCCAGTCTGTGGTGATTTGTTATGGCAGCCCACACTGACTAAGACACTTCCTTTAGTGTCTTTACTGGGAGTGCAAAGAGGCTTTATGCCTCTCTTGTCTTTAGAAGAGAAACTCTTTAATCATTTAATTATGCTAACGAAAGTTTCCAAGCAAGTAAAGGAAACTCTAGAGACGCAGAGTGATGCCTCCAGCCTCGTTCTCCCCTCCCTTTCCCCCTACAGGGAGCTCCATTGGCTGCGAGAGGCAGCACCTTTATTTCTTCCAGTCCACCGCCTGACCCCCCCGCAGGGTTCTGACCTGTGGTAGCTCTTACACGCAGATCCCACGCTCAGATGTGCTGGTGTGCAGTGTGGGTGTTTTTTGTTGAGTTTTAAATGTTCAGCTTACTGTTGTTTCAAGGGGAGAGATCTGGGAACGTCTCTCACTCCGCCATGTTTAATCCAATCTCAGGAAGAAGGCTTTTGAAGCAAATGATCAGTCAGGAAATGATCATGGGAACAAGTTATGGTCTTTTTCTTTAACATCTATCAGATCAAACTCTAACCAGCCATCAAACAAAAACACCGAAAAAACAAGTTTTCTGGGAACAAAATAGGAGGAACAGAGAAACTATTTAAATACTTTCTTATTAGTTTTCCATTTTCTTTCACAAGGGATTTGCAGTGATTTCAGGGAATTAGAATAAAAAGTAAAGAGAAGGCAATTATCTCATTAATTTTACATACAATATTTGCTGGACACACAGAGACATTAGTTATTAATGCCTCTGAATGCTACTGCACTCATTTATACTTGCCCACCACATGTAACCAGGAGGCTTTGGTATACTGTTAAGACACATATGAATGCCTTTGTATATTCATTCATACTCTAAAACATATGCAAACTTCTAGCTTCTTATTTTATGTGTAATGGTTTTCCACCAATTTTTTGGTCTTTAGACTAATAGTTTTATCCTCTTGCTCATGAACAGAGTACTTGTTACATTAATACCACATTGAGTATTCAACATCGCAGTGAAACTGTAACAAAAATAATTTTCAAATCTGAAGTGATATTTCATTTGTTGCAAAATATATTCATTATACTAACACCAAATTCTACACCAAAATTAATCTGGAATTTTTTAATTTTATTTCCTTTATAGAGGCAATTTCCTTTGGATATAAACTCCTTCATGTGAAAGTCAGACTCCACAGAGCAAAGAATCTCTTATCTCTGTCCTAGTGGGTAGCATGGAACATATAAAGGATATAGCCAACTTAACTTTACCTAAAGCTTTCTTCTTTAAGATCTGTTTTTTTTTTTTGGTCACATGTAATATTGACAAGAACTTGGAAAATGGGAGTTTAGTGGGAACAAAGAAAAAAGTATATTGCTTTAGGCTTAATAATTTATGTATTAAATGACAATGAGAAAGATGACTGCTTCTACAGCAGTATTTAGCTTTTATCGTTCAAAGTTATTTGAATACCTATCAGGCGCTCCATCCAATCAAGGAGGAAGCCACAATGGAAGGTAGAGATGTAATATTTATCTTATCTGTCATGTTATAAGAACGCAATTACAAACATAAAGGTCAATTCTAGGAAGTGCTCCACTCTGAAATCAACAAATCTCTAGCACTAGAGTTTAAAAAAAGAGTAGTTATTTGGAGTAGGTGGCGGTTTGTCAGCTTGAACTGCCAAAACAAAGTACCGTAAGACTGGATGGCTTAAACCACAGACATTTATGTCTCACAGTTCTGGGGCTGGGAGTTCCAAGACAAAGGTGCTGGCTGATTTAGTTCCTGAGGAGAACCTTCTTCTGGCTTGCAGACAGCCACCTTCTCATTGTGTCCTCAATGGGTGGGGGGAGATTGAGCTCTGGTCTCTTCTTATTATAAGGGCCACACCCTCATGACCTCAACTAGACCTAATCACCTCACAAAGGCCCCACCTCCAAATACCATCACATTGGGGGTTGGAGATTCAACATATCAGTTTTGGGGGGAACACAAACATTCTGTCCATAATAATAGTGATGAGAGAGGGCATAAAGAATAATTGTTTGGCCATGACACTGGGTCTCTTTTTTGGTTTTCTGCATCTTTCTTACTTTGTTTTCATCATTTTCAATCTCTCCCTTAGAACCTGTTCAAAAGTTTCTTCGATAATGACTTTTACTGGATTGGTCTGAGAAACCGTTCTGGCTGGAGGTGGGAAGATGGATCAGCCCTAAATTTCTCAAGGTAAGGTGCTTCAAAGGAGAAAGAGAGAGTTAGAGAGAAAGGTGAAGAAAAATGATGTGAACTAGATCAAGGATAGCAAATGGAGAGGAGATGGTGAATAAAGGAAATAGGGAACAAGGAAATAAACAGTGGATAAAGACAAAAAAAGAGATGACATTTTAAAGAGCTCTTTTTATTCTATTTTGTGAGTTGAGAGAAGGGGGGCCTAAATAGGGAGAAAGAATTTCTTTAATTTTTATTCTTTCATGTCTTACAACTCCTTTACTCTATTTGTCACCTTGATTGATTTTTTCTGATTTCTTATAGGGTTCTTACAAATAGCTTGATACAGAAGTGTGGTGTCTTCAGCAAAGGTGGTCTGCAAGCTTCTAGCTGTGAAGTCCTTTTACAGTGGGTCTGTAAGAAGGTCAGACTTTGATGGATGGTTAGATCTGTCATATGGCTCCCTGAAAAAAGGGAGCTGGCCTCCAGGTGTTGATAAAACCATGAGTATATACTTAGTGAATGCTGAACCTTCTATATAGGGCATTAGATGTAAGATTTAAGTAGATGTAAGATGGCAGCTTCTCTGGGATTGATGGTTTATTGCTGGACTCTCTTTAAGAGTTTTTAGATATTATCTTAACAAATTAAAGACCAGATCTAGGCAAATTTGTGAAATAGAGTGTTTTTAGTATTTCTTACTCTAGTAACTAATGTTGCCTCCTTTATCCCGACCCCTACCATCTCTATCATTTACCTTTTCTATGTTATTTTCTGAGCTGATTTAATGAAATCTATGCAAATACATACTGTTGCTAATGTTCTAGAGGGTTTTTATGTGTGCCAATGAGTTGACATGTTGCTTCTTCCTGATAATATATTTTTATATATATTTTAAAAGTGGCACTTTGAAGATAAAGCTTTATTCTAAAGAATGATACTAATAGTGAAAAAATAAGCTATGGAAAGTGAATGAGAACAAGGTGGGGCTTTCTGGTTCTCAGCTCTTCACTCTTACTTAAAGGCCTGGCCTTGAGTGAACTTAGTTTTTCTGAGTATGTACGGATGTGTTTGAATAAACTAATGTGTGACTATATCTTTTTCATGTTGTGAATATGTGATTTGCATGTTAATTTACCACAGTGGGCGATCTGATAAGGCATTTTTATAAAGGAAAATTTTCAGAAACAGTTTATGTGGTTGATCCCCAAATTATTTTAGGCACTTATGCCTCAAAAATGAGAAAAACTTTCTTGTTTTTTCTTAGTAGGGTTTGGACATTGATAAGGAGGGAAGGTGCTACACAAAGATCTAGGAGGGAGTAAGGAAGGGAACCATATTTTTTACTGCTGATGATGCTGGATTGTAATCTGTTTGTCTTTCTTTCGTAGTATTTTGAGGGCATGGGCTGTACTACCATTGTATACTCAACACCTAAAATGCTGCCTGTATCTGTGAATATTAAATAAATGAATAAAAAAATAAGAATTTTAAAATTCTTATTCCAGTTGTTTCTGTTAGCCCATGAGTTAATTAGGGGGATTAAGGGTAAGAAACAGTATATCCTAATCCTTCCTAGCCTCACCCATATGAGCATTTAATAGCTGACTCTAAAAAAGGCAAAAGGTGAGTTTAATCCAAATATAACCTTCATAGAAACTGGGTGAACTGGAGTTAAAAGTGAAGATGAAGAGAAGTGGGAGGATTTAGAATATACTGTGGTAGTAGAGATGATGTAGTAAATTAAAAAAAAAAAGACATCAGAAAGCTCCTCAGTTTGGAATCTGAACAACTGAGTGGATGGTAGGGCCATTTCCTGAGTTGGGAAAGACCTGGGAGTAGAGATATAGAAGAAAATATTCATCCTATCATTAGATGGGGGGAAACATACATTTTTCCAAAAAGTTTTCTAAGTTTATATTATTATTATTATTATTATTATTTTGCTTTACATTTTAATCACACATTCATCTTTGCTGTTTTGAGTATAGGTCTAATGTGGTATTGAGAAA